CAGCACGAAGGACAGTTACTGGGGCCCTTCAAATCATAGGGTATCTCATCTGCGGTCCATTAGGCCTTTTTTGGAGACTCCCACCCGTGCTCCCAAGGGTCGACAGTTGCACCCGTGCTCGGTTCTGGCTCCAGGATTTGGAGCACGGTGCCATAACTGCTTGAGGGTTTGCACTTCTTTCCCTTAGATGAGGTTGAGATGGGTTAGGGCTTGGGTGTTCGAGATTTCTCCGCCAGGCCTCTACTCACTTGAGACCTGGGACCCCAAATCCCCGCTTCACTCTGCGAAACCGCAGCTCTTTTAGAAGTCCCTTCTGGCTTCGGTCTTTAGCGCATTGCCTGCGATGGAGGCATGAAGACATCTGCGAGCTCGACTGAAACACATGGTGTAAGCCTTCTGTCGGTTTAGGGATTTAGGGCTGAGACAACTCCCTTTGAGGATCGCTGTTACATCCCTTGTAAGTGACTGGCGCCTGTTCATGGGGGGTAGTGGAAACATGGACTGACCAGGAGGCCCGACATGTCACCTCCGGCCAATATGAGCGCCTTAGAGCCTTTACCCCCAAACTCTTCTCGGGCACATCTAAATAAGGGGGGGAGGGGGGGTGGTGGACCGAAACATCGGTTCTAAACGGTGCAGGATCCCGATTGAAGGCTTCTGAGCTTCGTCATCTGCCCAAGCACCAGGAGACCGACGAAAGCCCCATGTGGCAACGCAAGGACGGACGAGTGGGGATCGTGAGTTTGCATCTAAAGTGCTTCGCATTGTCCATGTTGGGCGGCAAAAGTGTCCAGAGCCCTCAACGCAGCCGCTAGAAGCAAGCAGCATTCTAATTAGGGCGTACAGCTGCCTCTTTGGTAGCCGGCTGTCTACGGCAGGTCGGGCGAGACAAAGTGGGTTAGGCTGTGCGGAGAAGCAGGTAAGAAACTCGACCGAAACCCACCCCGCACCCGTGGGCACAGGAGAGATGAGACTCCGAATTAACTGCCGGGCTGAGATCCTGAATCGAAGGGCTGCGTTAGACCCGATGCCTATGTGCATGCACCCCAAACGCAGGATTCCATCCTCTCACAGGCCGATGTCGACTTACTTTGCCACTCGGGCAGCTACAGGTTCGTAGTTTTGTCCATTTTGTTCTCTTTACATGTGCCTGGCTAGGTCCACATTTATGGCGAAGATGCGTTTGAGTCATTTGAGATCATTTGAGGACACTGGGACGGGTCTAGGCGTTTCTCAGCATGCAAACCGAAAGACTAGGAAAATACATTCCGACGTGGATGGCAGAACCAACCCGCCTGACTGATCTAACAAGTCTTCGGTTGGTGTTGACGGAGGACCAGATTCATCAGAAGATTTCCGTCATTTCGAAAATCCAGCCTGCGGCAGCTGAGTACCCCGCACATCGTCGCCCAGCCTACTTGTTGACAGTATGCTCGTTCACCTATCAGAAACTGAAAGGAATCTTGCACTGAAGCGCTTCTTGGAAGAGTCTTGAGCGCGATGTGTTAGGCTATAGTAGATCAATGCCGTTGAACGTAACGAAGTCCTCCCAATTGAATGTCCATGCGAACTACCGTACATGCTTCTGGAACGTCGTTCAACTAGTTCAATCCACCGGCAATTCCTGCTTCCTTGAACAGCCGACGTATCTTCTGCTAGCATGCCATGGATCTATGTGCATACGCTGACATCTCCTCTTCCATCGGGAGCCCTCTCCAGCCGAGGAACAGCCACGAACACCCCATGAAAGGTATTTTGAGAAGGAGAGTCTTCGACCAGGTCCGAAAGCTGAAAGGAGCTCCTCACTACAGTCCCGATTCCCGAAGCCTGTTCAAGTCAAGGTCATTCAAAGTCCTGCACTCTTGGAGAACTCAGACATGTTGTGTGTGCATGAGCTCTGAGGTGAGATGCCCTACGGCTAGTGCCGATGCGGGCGTGAGTTCTATAATGTCAGGGTGTTGAGCTTCGGGTCCAGTTTTAGGCATCAGGGGCGAAACAGAACCTACTTTAGACATTCTGCCATGGGAGGTTTTCTTATGTCCCACATCCTAGACTTGTGAGTCTTTTCCTGTCAGGGACTAGGTCGTGGGTCGTGCAGCACCTGGTGCAGGAGCCTTTCACACTTCGATTGTTCCTTGGGGTTCGGTTCCGCATCTTTGCCGGAGTAATCATATATAGGCCATGAGGGAATATCATGACAAATTATTCGGATCCGGACGTTACCGTTTTGTGTTTGCGTCTGCTAGGCCAACATCTAACAAGGGCCAGGGTAGGCAAATTGGAGTTGGGAGCTCACCTACAACCCTAAACCCTAAAACCCTAGGCCCTGAACCCTAGCTAGCTTCTGGGATTTAGGATTTCCACTTTGTATCGTTCCAGGCTTCAGGGTTCCAGGGAACTTTCTGACGCCCGGCGTAGGAGGAGGCGCACGGAAGTTGGGACAATGCTCCACATTTTGAGACCCCGGGCAAAGAACGTTTGTGCTTAATCTACGTACCCACCTCAGCACCAACTCCCGTGCAGCCTCATCGTCAAATCCCGAGGTTTTTATCAGAGCACAAGTGGAGCCGCTTCCCTCCAAGGGGTTGCGCCCAAACACTATGCACGGCCCTGTGAACAGAAGGCCTACGGAAGCAGCAGCGCGTTGCTGCTGCACACTGGTCTAGACTGTGCTTACTTCCTGAAAAAGCTTGCCCTGAAGCTCGCATCTTATCAGGATCCATCACAGCTTGAGCCCAAAGCCTTGAAAGTCAGTATCAAGCATAAGGCCTTGTTCAAGGGGTCGGACAGGCAAAGCCCCTCCGGCAGCTGATGTCAAAGTTCGGGCTGCAGGAGTTTGCGGAACTGTAGTGCGATCCACTCATCAACCACAAGCCAATGCAGTAAGACTCTCAGAGCACTATCGCAAGGGCCGAAACACGGTGAGCACTGCAGAAAGACAGGTCGCAAAGCATGGATGAGAATGCTGCCGTATAACTGTATAAGCCTCATTGCCGACCGCATCCGGGACACTGCCATTGGCAGCGGTCGGTACCTGACCTTGCGGGCTTAAACCAGCTTCCGCCACCTCAGCCCAAACGGCGACACCCGTTGGTCCGCATGATTGTCGTTTCCAAACCTTCTGCAGTTTACCTGCCGCCGATGCCACGTCGTTTCTGTGAGATTCCCCGAGGATGAATGATGATGATGATGAATCTGATGAATGATGACGATGATTCTCAATGAAGGAGATGGCGAGAACGACGATGATAATGACGGCAACAGCGCTGTTACATGTCCACCAACATTTTTGTTTGGCTTCGTTACAACCGTTTGCTAGCGGCAGTACTTTTCGGGCACGTCATGAGCTTTGGGGTGTGGTACCGAGTTCACACTTCAAGGCCAAGGCTTGGGAAAGTGTCTGATAGGAAGACCACGTGGAATGTGGAGTAGTAGACCCAAACTTCGGCTTTCCACGGCGAGGCACCCGCGGCTTTTCAGCACCTCGGGGCTCGAAGAACTTCGAGCCACCTGGGCGTTAGCCTTTTGACCTCTTGAGTTTGCCAATGTCGCACAGGAGCCAGCAAAGCGGACCGTTGAATAGAGGAAGAGTCATATGGCGGGAAACGATTGAGGTGTCAGATACGCTGGCTACCGCAAGAATCCAAGAAGCAGCAGGATAGCTGCGGATTTCAGAGCATCCAGGAGTGATTCCTCAACAACGGAGGCCCCTGGACGGTTTCCAAGAACCGACACTTTCTTCGGGCTTCTTGTAGTCCATGAACAACTGCAACTACGCGCTGTAGTGGTAGTACCGAAAACTAATATACTAGCTCGCCTTCGCAGCAAGCACTTAAATAGGAATTCTAGAGTGTGGGGTTGGGGTGTTGTTCCCCATCAAACATGCAAGGGTGCAGCAACGCTGTCATGGCCGTATCCACGGCCACGTCAGAAACCCGACTTGACGTTTTCCTTGAACCTGTGTCTGAAGCTGCGGGAAATCTTTCGGCTAGCGACCTGGTCTTCTAGGTGTCTCAGGCTCAGGGACCCTCGAGGCCATAACGTACTTCTTGCAGAGCTTTCGGGTTTTCGGAGGTCGGAGGCTGCAAGGCTGCAAGTCTTGTAATAACCTCAATTGAATTTGGTGGATGCCCAAAACATGTACCGGTGGTTTTGCACCGAAGGAGACCGATGTGCTCATGGCGATAGTTGTTAGTAAGTAAGATTGGGCTCAGGCGTTTGAGGCTCGAGCGAAGAGAACTCCGACAGCACCAGATACACGAAACTGGGGCCTGGCATTCTCGCAGCGTTGGACGAGGTTCGGGAGAAGGTGCAACATGTCCGCTGCCGTGCGGCGCAGGCTTCTTTGAGCAACGGGCGCTTGGCCCTGTTAGGATGTAATGTGCGAGATACATCAGTTCATCTTCAGCTAACGCATAGATGGAAAAAACTGCCCTTCACCTCCTTACGCGACACATTGCCAGAGGAGTTAGTTGAATCTCATTGAACCTCGATGTGCTGGCAGCGAAGAAGCCTGCAGACTCGTATACAACCACAACGCGCTCCAGTACTTGGAGCTGCGCATTGGGGCTCACGGAGCGAGTGTAACATGCACCCTCCCTTGTGCCACAAGCGTGGCAAACAAGGATGCGTGCTTGAGAAAAGCTGCTCTTACTGCCATGATCTTCATGTGATCCCTGGGGTTGGAGCACGCAGTTGCTTAACTCTGGGGGCCGGACATCCCAGAAAGGAAAGCGGTTGAGTTGAGCAGCAGATGGCATATGGCATATCCTCTGCACAGCAACTTAAGCTGCGGGCACCCGGTTCGCACTGTATCTTGCAGAGAACTCCGAATGATGCAAAGTATGGCTCGCCAGCACAAAACTCGAGGACTTATGCATCGTCCCGAATTAGTTGGGCTTCACAAGGGAGTCAGTGGAGGCTTACGAAGGTCGCAAGGTGGGCTCAAAGCATCCGGTTCCATCCAATCCTAAAGCCATTCGCGCTTTCGCGCCGTTCAGGTCTTTACCATGTTTTGGTATCATCCGGCGCCTGCGGAGGTCTTGAAGGCAAGAGAGCACACGACGGCTGTTCTTCATGTGGTGCCAAAGCATAGAGGGGCCTGGTCTGCCTGATCTTTGGATTTGAGCTTCATCGTCCTCCCAAAGAAACTTGCGCGATTCGATGCAGAAGGTCCCAGGCGCCTACAAGGCTGAAGCCTCGTAGGACAATTTCTGCCTCTGAAGAAGTCTGAGTGGGCGGCAGAAACTCCGAGCAGCACTTGATGCATATGCCAGGTCCCCAATTCGTGATCCCGAAGACCTCGAACTCTGTAAAGACATTTACTAAACCAGAAGCCCCCAGGCACCTCAAACTGAGAGCCTCCGTTGCCCATTCGCCCTGCCAGGGCAGCTTCACGGGAACCGCAGATCCCGAGTGCCCCTGCCCTGCCTGCCTTGTGAGGTTGCTACATCTTTGTTGCTATCAGCTTTCAGCTTGAGCATGAGCAGTTAGTCGGGATTTCGGTCTTCTCCAGATTGGCCGCGAGGAGCTTCGTGGCTTCAATCGGAACGTGGTTTTTGCAGACGACTCAAGATAATTTCCTGGGCAGCGGTCTGAAGACTTAGTTACTAGTAGGGAATTTGTTGAGAGGCGGGAACAATTCGTGCTAGAAATCAGTATTGACGCAAAAGGACTCTAACTGGAGTCCTTTACAAAATCTAAACCCCCAACTCCCAATCTGCTTACGTCCTGAACAAATAATCCCCATAAAGGATCCCTACGCTCGAGACCCGCAACCGCATCGTCGACAGTTTAGTTAGTGTAATATTAAACAAAAGTTGAGATCAGGAGGCACGAACGGCCTGAAGCCTAAACGTGAAACTGAGCCTGGACACCCACCGGTGTTTCGGATGTGTCCGGTTAAGGGTACCCCCTAGCCCATGTCCCTACTGTTCGAAGTCCTTGATGAAACAAGCGGCACATTGTGTAAGGCTGAGCAAATTTGAACACGCTACAAGTAGCCTGCATTGAGCAGGTACCTGAAGCTCATCTCTGCCAACATTGGAGCTGCCGTCCTTGCGCACTTATCTGAGGGGAACCGTATGCTGCAGCTTCACGAGATTTCAGGTGCATTTCCTGCCCGATCTCATAGCCAAATGTCGTTCGGAGCATCAACCTTTCCGACAAATACCCAAACCCCCCACCACGAGGACACATCATCCCTGAATCCTAAACCCTAAAACCCTAAATCCCTATACCTGCAACGACTTTCAGCGTGGCTTCGCCTCGAGGTCTGCATCGTATGCAAAATTCTTCGTTGCTGTAACGCTTCCTCCTGCCATGATTGCGTTATCCTTGCCCCCATCTGTTCCCCGTCTCTGAATCAGTTGAGAGAGGGTAGGAAAGCTTCATGGGCGGTAGGCCTGAAAGCGGCTGATTCAAAACCCTACTAAGCAGAGAATTGGCAGGTGATCATGCCCTGGATGATTTACTTTCAGCAGTCTGCCGTCGTCGCTCGCCGCCGCTGCCTTGTGAAGAGATGGCTACCGAATTTATGACGTAGCCCCCATGGCCCCATAGCCGAGCCTGGATATCCCACCCCAGTGGCGTTTCTTTGAGGTATTCACGTCTTGCGGCTTTTGTTCTCTGGATCCTCAGCCTTCAGCCCTGGATCCAACTAGGAGGTCCCAGTCTGCCAATCAGGCAAAAAAAGAAGGGTTCCTGGCAGGCACCCTTAGATCATCTTAGATCCCCGAGCCGGAACCCTGTAACTTCATGTCCCCCCTCAAGATCCTTGCCTTGAGTCGTTTCTTGTGGACCTTTTTGGTGAGCCCAGAGAACCTGGGCGCAAGGATGTTCGAGTTGGACTTTGGCTTCGTAACGAAAACCTTCGGAATTCTTATCTCGGATTTGAAGATGGATGGGTGATCCTGGTTGGAGATGCGTATTTGTCGGCTGCCACTCACCTTGAAGATCCTTTCAGACAGTTCGAGGTTCCACGTGGGGCCCAATGGTAATTCGCTTGTTTCTAACTAATCGAGCCAATGGCTGAGGGATGACAACCGGCCACGAGCTGAGCGAGGCGGTCTTGCACAAATCTTCGCTTCGCTCGTGTCGCTGCTGCTCGCACTTCACAAGCGGTAGTGGCATGACAGCGGAGAGGGCTTTCAGAACATTCGCAGAACACCCTTGAACTCAGACTCCGAGCATGTTTTATGGTTATAAGAAGATGCAGCCTCAGACTTTACCGTGTGACTGGACGGTCTCCGGCTCGGATTTACTGATTTGGTTTCGATTTGTTTGTGCAGGGCCGCGGCGTATTCCCGTTGAACTTCTTGGAGCATTGTGACGTACATTGACGGTTACTTCGCTGACATCGACTCCCTCTCAACAAACATGTCGGGGTGCTATTGGTGGCATTACGGGGAGGGCCGTGGTCCGGTTGTCGAAGTGAGGAACCCTCAAAAAGAAAGCTTCAAAGCCCTGAACTCCAAGACGAAGAAGGTTCAACGGAGCATGCGCCGTCCGTGTTTACAATCAACTCCATATCAACTCCTAATGTCCCGAGGAGATACTCCTAGCCTGGACACCAAACCGTACCTAGAGAGCCTGATACCCTTCAATGAAGTAAGATCGAATATGCCTTGATGAAACTTTTGGGGGTTTTCTGTTCTGATCCGGCTTACTTGATGGGCATTGGGCTTTTTGGGTGGCACACGCGAACTCCTCGAAAGCTCCACATGTGAAACTTTGCGGCCCTCGACCAGACGGCAAACAAAACTCTTCCCCCCTGCAGGAACGCACAGGCACGCTGATCGGCAGTTTCCTGACCCAGTTGATTCTCGGCCGAAGCATCGGGATGATTTGAGCCCTGTCCTGCCGTAGGCCTTGAACACCCAATTGGCACTCTCGGAGCTGCCAGCTCAAGATCAAAGGCTATTCTCCGCTGATCCATGTCAGGAGGCTCTTCACCCAAGGACCCTGAAGAAACAGAGGTCTAGAAAGCCAAGCCTGCTTGATGACATTGGCAAAGGCCCAGGAGCACCGCCAGCAGTACAAATGTCACTTGCCATAGCGCAAGAGCCTCCCGCTTCGCTGCCCCGCTCCCTCGACCTGCGAACGCGACCGCTGCGCTAAAAACCGCCTAGTTCGAGAAAGAAGCATTGCCGATTCAGTCATTCCGGTGGGTATCAAACTCGTTCCTTGATCAGTTTAAGATTTGTGCCAATTTGCACCAAACCCGCCGAGGATCATGATCGGAGCGTCCGGGAGCCCAGAGATGCATCGTGTCAAATGTGTTGGTCCTCGAACCTTAGACGTATAAATCTTAGCCCGAACAGGTCACAGTGGAGGATTCGCGTTTGGGATCTGAGGGTAGTGCTGCAGCTATTGGCAATTGAGTCCGCAGCCCCGCTTGAATCACGACCTTCCTGTCTGTAAGGGCTACTACGTGAAATTCTCGGGTTCAGGGTTTCAGGCTCGGGGTTTCGAGTTTAGAATCGGAAGCTCCGTGTTATGGATGTACGGTGTGGACTCAGGTTCAGGGCGTGGGGTTCTACCGACGGGCTGAGTGCTGTTGGACATAGGGAGGGTGCAAGATGAGTGGCCATAAAGCCACCCAACCAACATGTTGCGGCTGAAGCCTTTACGTTTTGGGTACAGCCTTCCCGATCACTTACAAATCAACTTCAGCTTGGCGGCCCGGAAAATCTCATGTCGTGAGTCTCCGAATCCGTAAACTCGCCAAGCCCAGCAGGGCTTGATATTCAGGGTATTGCGTGGAAAGCGATCCCCCCCAAGCTGACGAGCGAGAACATGCAAACAACATGGGGGAGTTTCAGAAAATGAGGAACCCTAATATAGTACCTTAAAAAGTAGGATCCTCGTTATAAGGACCCCAAGCTATGGTACCCCTAATGTTCGAAAACTCCCATATCTTACGAGCAGAACCTCCTGCCTGTAACCGCAGGCTGGTGACACTGGCGGCGGCGCACTCCGTCAGCCGTGACCTTCGCAGTACCCAGGCCGGGAGAGCTCTGGGATTGCAGATGGTCACAAGGTTTCAGACTTATCGGAAGATGGTAAAACTCCCGGGCTGACCAGCATTTTGCGCAAGACCTGAAGACTCTTTCCCGCTCGCCCGCCGCCACGATGCGAGCCATGCAAGCTGCTCTCCTGCTTCTGGCAGCTTGGCGGCAACTTCCGACCTATGACCTTCTTCTCGCAAAGCCAAGCCGAGGTTGGGACGCTGGCGTTGGCTGACCCCTGCCCTCCGAACGCGGCGCCCTTCATTCGGCCAGAAGGCATCACTGACGGCGAGACGGTCCAGTTTGCCAGCCGCCGGGCCTGAGCTTAAGCAACTTCTGAATATCGCGCCCTGCAGCGGACTTCTATAACCACCTTAAATGATGCGGGTTCGCCAGGGCTCTTGTCATCCAGGCTACACTGCACTTTGCAGATGCAAGCTCAACTAAGATGCCTTCACGGTGACCTACTACTCCACCTACAAGGTCATCAAGTACAATGCGGCGCTGACCACCTTGAGGTCGGGATGGCCGAATCCGGCACTCAGGGGCCAGGCCCCTCCGGATCTCGTGCTGTACGAATGCGGCACGACGCAGCCGACCACGTCCTTTAACGATGTGTCGGAGGACGCCTGGTTCTTCTCCGTCCCCATTTCTAAGCTGGCTTTTTATGGGACAAACCCCGTTCATTTCTTCGAGATGCTCTCAGTGACGGAAGCCATTATTCTGCATGACCTCACCTACACCGGGTCGCCCTGCATGCAACTGCTTGAGGTATGCACTCCGGGTTTGCACGCTTCTTCTTCGAGCAGCGACTGGGTGCCCCTAGCCATGGATGCAGACGCCGTCTTCACAGACGCATGGGGGGGCGGAGCAAGCAACACAACGAAGGACGTGGTGTTCGCCATGTCGGTTGACTCAGGCATCCTGCCGCGAGCTGAGTGGATTCGCTTCGTTGCCCTGTTCTTCAATCTCGAGGTTACCGCTGGAGAGATCTTTCGAAAGGTTCTGGGGGACTACAGATCGCTGCAAGCCGAAGCCACTCGTCTCGCAGCAGCTCGAGCAACTGGCGTTCCTTCAGTGGCCTGGATTACCCATCAGGGTTGCTCTGACGTCGTGTGTGATGGGGTAACGCCGGGCAGTTGGAGGCAGAAGGCAGACGGCAATTGGTGCCGGTGTGGGATGTTCTACCTTTTCAGCAACTCCCTCTTCAAACGGGACATCACCCAAGATGCTGGTGCACGGCTCCTCCCGATGCCAGGCCAAGCGGCAGATGGCTGCACGTTGACGACCAACTCGGATGGCTCTGGGACCTATGAATGCAACCAGGATGGACTGGAGCATTACTTGCAGCACCTCGCGTCAGCTGATGTCATCATTGACGAGACGTACAGGCTAAACCATGCAGACTACACGCTGGATGACTTTGTTTCGAGCTTCAGTCTTGGCAGTAGCAGTGTGACCTTGACGGCGCGGGAAGCACAGGCAGTCTATCGAGTCGACGGCTCCGTGAGCGATCCCAACCCCTGGACGGGCCATGTTGGCAGCGGCTGGTTTGAGCAGATGCCAGCGCAGCCGCAGACGTTGCTCAGTGACTTGATGCACGCTCTTTACGGCGATGCCTTCGCGGGCCCATGCGGGCTTACCTACATGCGAAACCTTTATTCCAGTCAGACGCGTGACCCGTCAGAGCATTCAGACTGCCCGCTGTATGATGCCGGCGGCAGCCATGACTGTGCAGGCATCCACGCCTACGAGCATCAAGTTCACTCGTGCGCGATCCCCGCAAATCCCCCGACCAGTGACAGTGGCCCGGATCCGCTCGCTTTGGGCTTGGGGCTTGGATTGGGCATTCCTTTGGTGCTGCTAGTCGTTGGCATCGCCGCATACTTCTTCTGTTTTCGTAAACCTACCCCGACACCGGCCTCCCCTGTAGCTGGGGGTGCTGCAGTCGTGGGTGTCCCTGTAAACGACGCAGCCTCAAAGGCATAAGTCGCAGTTACAGTTGTACATCTCCTGAGACTCTGTGAGGAGATACATTTTTCGAGCGGTGCAAACCGCGCGAGGGGTGAAAACCTATGACAGTTTTGGTGGGCGGCCGCATCCCCCCCCCCCCCTCCACTACGGAGGTGCTTTAGTCTGGGATAGTGGAGTTGTCCCACAAGCGGTTTTGTGGAATACTGATACCAGTTCCGGCCAGCGATCGCTGAGAAAGAGACAGGAGTTCGCACGGTTCGCAGTTTTCAACGGTTCAACTTGCCTTCTCTCTATTTACCTTGGCATCTCGCCTTGATCCCTGCCCGAAGTCGGGAGAGCTCTGGGATTGCAGATGGTCACCAGGTCTCAGCATTATCGGAAGATGGTAAAACTCCCGGCCGGACCAGCATTTTGCACAAGACCTGAAGACTCTTTCCCACCGGCCCGCCGCCACGATGCGAGCCATGCAAGCTGCTCTCCTGCTTCTGGCAGCTTGGCGGCAACTTCCGACCTATGACCTTCTTCTCGCAAAGCCAAGCCGAGGTTGGGACGCTGGCGTTGGCTGACCCCTGCCCTCCGAACGCGGCGCCCTTCATTCGGCCAGAAGGCATCACTGAAGGCGAGACGGTCCAGTTTGCCAGCCGCCGGGCCTGAGCTTAAGCAACTTCTGAATATCGCGCCCTGCAGCGGACTTCTATAACCACCTTAAATGATGCGGGTTCGCCAGGGCTCTTTTCATCCAGGCTAAACTGCACTTTTTAGATGCAAGCTCAACTAAGATGCCTTCACGGTGACCTACTACTCCACCTACAAGGTCATCAAGTACAATGCGGCGCTGACCACCTTGAGGTCGGGATGGCCGAATCCGGCACTCAGGGGCCAGGCCCCTCCGGATCTCGTGCTGTACGAATGCGGCACGACGCAGCCGACCACGTCCTTTAACGATGTGTCGGAGGACGCCTGGTTCTTCTCCGTCCCCATTTCTAAGCTGGCTTTTTATGGGACAAACCCCGTTCATTTCTTCGAGATGCTCTCAGTGACGGAAGCCATTATTCTGCATGACCTCACCTACACCGGGTCGCCCTGCATGCAACTGCTTGAGGTATGCACTCCGGGTTTGCACGCTTCTTCTTCGAGCAGCGACTGGGTGCCCCTAGCCATGGATGCAGACGCCGTCTTCACAGACGCATGGGGGGGCGGAGCAAGCAACACAACGAAGGACGTGGTGTTCGCCATGTCGGTTGACTCAGGCATCCTGCCGCGAGCTGAGTGGATTCGCTTCGTTGCCCTGTTCTTCAATCTCGAGGTTACCGCTGGAGAGATCTTTCGAAAGGTTCTGGGGGACTACAGATCGCTGCAAGCCGAAGCCACTCGTCTCGCAGCAGCTCGAGCAACTGGCGTTCCTTCAGTGGCCTGGATTACCCATCAGGGTTGCTCTGACGTCGTGTGTGATGGGGTAACGCCGGGCAGTTGGAGGCAGAAGGCAGACGGCAATTGGTGCCGGTGTGGGATGTTCTACCTTTTCAGCAACTCCCTCTTCAAACGGGACATCACCCAAGATGCTGGTGCACGGCTCCTCCCGATGCCAGGCCAAGCGGCAGATGGCTGCACGTTGACGACCAACTCGGATGGCTCTGGGACCTATGAATGCAACCAGGATGGACTGGAGCATTACTTGCAGCACCTCGCGTCAGCTGATGTCATCATTGACGAGACGTACAGGCTAAACCATGCAGACTACACGCTGGATGACTTTGTTTCGAGCTTCAGTCTTGGCAGTAGCAGTGTGACCTTGACGGCGCGGGAAGCACAGGCAGTCTATCGAGTCGACGGCTCCGTGAGCGATCCCAACCCCTGGACGGGCCATGTTGGCAGCGGCTGGTTTGAGCAGATGCCAGCGCAGCCGCAGACGTTGCTCAGTGACTTGATGCACGCTCTTTACGGCGATGCCTTCGCGGGCCCATGCGGGCTTACCTACATGCGAAACCTTTATTCCAGTCAGACGCGTGACCCGTCAGAGCATTCAGACTGCCCGCTGTATGATGCCGGCGGCAGCCATGACTGTGCAGGCATCCACGCCTACGAGCATCAAGTTCACTCGTGCGCGATCCCCGCAAATCCCCCGACCAGTGACAGTGGCCCGGATCCGCTCGCTTTGGGCTTGGGGCTTGGATTGGGCATTCCTTTGGTGCTGCTAGTCGTTGGCATCGCCGCATACTTCTTCTGTTTTCGTAAACCTACCCCGACACCGGCCTCCCCTGTAGCTGGGGGTGCTGCAGTCGTGGGTGTCCCTGTAAACGACGCAGCCTCAAAGGCATAAGTCGCAGTTACAGTTGTACATCTCCTGAGACTCTGTGAGGAGATACATTTTTCGAGCGGTGCAAACCGCGCGAGGGGTGAAAACCTATGACAGTTTTGGTGGGCGGCCGCATCCCCCCCCCCTCCACTACGGAGGTGCTTTAGTCTGGGATAGTGGAGTTGTCCCACAAGCGGTTTTGTGGAATACTGATACCAGTTCCGGCCAGCGCTCGCTGAGAAAGAGACAGGAGTTCGCACGGTTCGCAGTTTTCAACGGTTCAACTTGCCTTCTCTCTATTTACCTTGGCATCTCGCCTTGATCCCTGCCCGAAGTCGGGAGAGCTCTGGGATTGCAGATGGTCACCAGGTCTCAGCATTATCGGAAGATGGTAAAACTCCCGGCCGGACCAGCATTTTGCACAAGACCTGAAGACTCTTTCCCACCGGCCCGCCGCCACGATGCGAGCCATGCAAGCTGCTCTCCTGCTTCTGGCAGCTTGGCGGCAACTTCCGACCTATGACCGTCTTCTCGCAAAGCCAAGCCGAGGTTGGGACGCTGGCGTTGGCTGACCCCTGCCCTCCGAACGCGGCGCCCTTCATTCGGCCAGAAGGCATCACTGAAGGCGAGACGGTCCAGTTTGCCAGCCGCCGGGCCTGAGCTTAAGCAACTTCTGAATATCGCGCCCTGCAGCGGACTTCTATAACCACCTTAAATGATGCGGGTTCGCCAGGGCTCTTTTCATCCAGGCTAAACTGCACTTTTTAGATGCAAGCTCAACTAAGATGCCTTCACGGTGACCTACTACTCCACCTACAAGGTCATCAAGTACAATGCGGCGCTGACCACCTTGAGGTCGGGATGGCCGAATCCGGCACTCAGGGGCCAGGCCCCTCCGGATCTCGTGCTGTACGAATGCGGCACGACGCAGCCGACCACGTCCTTTAACGATGTGTCGGAGGACGCCTGGTTCTTCTCCGTCCCCATTTCTAAGCTGGCTTTTTATGGGACAAACCCCGTTCATTTCTTCGAGATGCTCTCAGTGACGGAAGCCATTATTCTGCATGACCTCACCTACACCGGGTCGCCCTGCATGCAACTGCTTGAGGTATGCACTCCGGGTTTGCACGCTTCTTCTTCGAGCAGCGACTGGGTGCCCCTAGCCATGGATGCAGACGCCGTCTTCACAGACGCATGGGGGGGCGGAGCAAGCAACACAACGAAGGACGTGGTGTTCGCCATGTCGGTTGACTCAGGCATCCTGCCGCGAGCTGAGTGGATTCGCTTCGTTGCCCTGTTCTTCAATCTCGAGGTTACCGCTGGAGAGATCTTTCGAAAGGTTCTGGGGGACTACAGATCGCTGCAAGCCGAAGCCACTCGTCTCGCAGCAGCTCGAGCAACTGGCGTTCCTTCAGTGGCCTGGATTACCCATCAGGGTTGCTCTGACGTCGTGTGTGATGGGGTAACGCCGGGCAGTTGGAGGCAGAAGGCAGACGGCAATTGGTGCCGGTGTGGGATGTTCTACCTTTTCAGCAACTCCCTCTTCAAACGGGACATCACCCAAGATGCTGGTGCACGGCTCCTCCCGATGCCAGGCCAAGCGGCAGATGGCTGCACGTTGACGACCAACTCGGATGGCTCTGGGACCTATGAATGCAACCAGGATGGACTGGAGCATTACTTGCAGCACCTCGCGTCAGCTGATGTCATCATTGACGAGACGTACAGGCTAAACCATGCAGACTACACGCTGGATGACTTTGTTTCGAGCTTCAGTCTTGGCAGTAGCAGTGTGACCTTGACGGCGCGGGAAGCACAGGCAGTCTATCGAGTCGACGGCTCCGTGAGCGATCCCAACCCCTGGACGGGCCATGTTGGCAGCGGCTGGTTTGAGCAGATGCCAGCGCAGCCGCAGACGTTGCTCAGTGACTTGATGCACGCTCTTTACGGCGATGCCTTCGCGGGCCCATGCGGGCTTACCTACATGCGAAACCTTTATTCCAGTCAGACGCGTGACCCGTCAGAGCATTCAGACTGCCCGCTGTATGATGCCGGCGGCAGCCATGACTGTGCAGGCATCCACGCCTACGAGCATCAAGTTCACTCGTGCGCGATCCCCGCAAATCCCCCGACCAGTGACAGTGGCCCGGATCCGCTCGCTTTGGGCTTGGGGCTTGGATTGGGCATTCCTTTGGTGCTGCTAGTCGTTGGCATCGCCGCATACTTCTTCTGTTTTCGTAAACCTACCCCGACACCGGCCTCCCCTGTAGCTGGGGGTGCTGCAGTCGTGGGTGTCCCTGTAAACGACGCAGCCTCAAAGGCATAAGTCGCAGTTACAGTTGTACATCTCCTGAGACTCTGTGAGGAGATACATTTTTCGAGCGGTGCAAACCGCGCGAGGGGTGAAAACCTATGACAGTTTTGGTGGGCGGCCGCATCCCCCCCCCCCTCCACTACGGAGGTGCTTTAGTCTGGGATAGTGGAGTTGTCCCACAAGCGGTTTTGTGGAATACTGATACCAGTTCCGGCCAGCGCTCGCTGAGAAAGAGACAGGAGTTCGCACGGTTCGCAGTTTTCAACGGTTCAACTTGCCTTCTCTTATTTCACTTTGGCATCTCGCCAGCTTAGACGATCTGCGCCCCTTGTGCTAGTACTGTACATTCCCGTGTGCAGGACATCGTCGCCGCCTTGATCCCTGCCTTCGGGCCCTTCATGCCTTCGGGCTGCATGAATAAGTAGAGTCGTAGAGCGTCAGATGATGCAGCTTGAATCAGAGCCAGTTGACCTTCTGAGAGCATGCGGACTATGGGCAATGTCGGGCTGGGGTTTGCTGGGCTCGCTGCATTGCTTCTTGGTTTCGAGATTCGGTGCTTCGGCGGTTTCAGGGTTTCAGGATTTGTTTTGAAAGCGTGGAATTTCCAAGATCACGCTTTGGGGTGCGAACCTGGGCTTTGGGCTTCGATGATGAGAGCTCGCCCGCCAAGACTTGATCCCCAATTTGTTTTCTGCTTAAGCGAGGCCTGAAGGACCTGCCCGAAATGCTGTGAATTGACAGCAACAGCTGGAAGAAACAGACCCCCCCCTGCTTAGTCCGAATCCTGACATGCGGCTCAGGTCCAAATTGCTAATCTCTTTGGCCTTCCTCGGCGGTTCGCTGTGCGCGTCCTTCGTGGTGGTTGCCTCATACTTTCAGCAGACGCCTGCGATACAGGGTTTCAGATTGGCTTTGGGGCTGGCTCAGATCCTAGTGGCAACGGCCCAGCGGACTTTCGCAACAGAGAGGGTGTTTTTCATACGCCGCCCGGGTCCGGGCGGCGTTAACAGTCATGCAAGGTCAGGCAGAAGGAGGACACCAATCTGTGCAGAGCGACGTTTGTCAAAAATGTTGAGCACCGTTCGTCACACCTCCCAAACAAGAGCCTATTGGAAACACATCTTGAACCCACTGTCTGTCGAACGCATTGAAACCTTCAACCCGAAAGTTTCTGGCGCCGAACCGGAGCCCGCGAGCTGAGGGACCTGACGGGCCCACAGTTAGGTTTATCAAGGAGGAGGAGGAGGAGGAGAAGGCATAGCAGCAGCAGCAGCAGCAGCAGCAGCAGCAAGCGGTGTAGTTGACGCATACAATCAGGTAGTAATGATGGTAGTAGTCGTCGTCGTAGCGGTGGTGCGGTGGGGCTAGCAAGTGTCGTCGTAGCGTTGGAGTCAGAATATGTATCTCTTCGGGGACGACTACTACTACGACGGCTGCTACTGCTACCACCTCAAAACTACAACTAACACCACCAGAGCCACTGCGATTACTATTGTTCTTGGTACGACTCCTCCGCTACTGCTACTCCTGCTCCTGCAACTCCTCCTACTCTTACTCCTACTCCTACTCCTACTACTACTACTACTGCTGCTACTGCTACTGCTACTGCTACTGCTACTACTACTACTACTACTACTGCTACTGCTACTGCTACTGCTACTGCTACTGCTACTGCTACTGCTACTACTACTACTTCTATTACTACTTCTTCTGCTACTACTACTACTACTACTACTGCCACTCCTACTACTACTCCTACTACTGCTACTACTACTTCCTGCTACTACTGCTACTACTACTACTACTACTGCTGCTGCTGCTGCTGTTGCTGCTACTACTGCTACTATTGCTACTGCTACTGCTACTGCTACTACTACTACTACTACTACTACCACCACTATTACTACTGCTACTATTACTTGTAGAAGGCGGAGGAGGAGGCGGACGATCACGAGCAACAGCAGCAAGAGGAGGGTTGTGCAATTTCGACGGCACTTGCATTGGTTCTTGTTGCTGCTGCAGTCGTCATTGAAACTCTAGCTGCTAGCAGAAGCGACACAGTGATGCCATCGCTTTTTTCATCTCCGAGGTGGCCTTAGCTGGTACCTGGGCGCTTTGCGAGGCCAAGCCCACGATGAGTTGCAGGGCCTTCGGGAAGTATTATGAAATATCTACAGCTTTCGGTCTGGGCTTTATCGAGAGGTCTCAAGTCTGAAGAGTTGGGGCCAGCAATAAGATACAGGCTTGTGAGCGGGGAGGGCTTTGTAGGGGCTTCGCTCTCTCACTCCCAACCACCAGATGAAGACCTGCAAGCTTCCTTTGTTCAACAAGGCTCTAAGAAAACGTCAACTTTTCGAGGCTCTCCACCCGGAGCCTTTGTGATGCATCCTCCGCAACGGCCAGTGCATCATCATGCGTGGATCGTCCTAGTCTAGAAACCGCAAACCCCATTCTCATTCTCTCTGCAAGCCCTTTGCTTGCTAGGGTTGCTTCTGCATTCCTCAGGCTCTGAGCCTCGAAGACACCTTTGCCTTGGAGCAGACACCCACAGAGGCCGGGCACCGCAGTGAGGCAGCAAGGACCAAGAAAGTAGCTGGCACCTGGGCGGCAGACATGGGTGATACGAAAAGGGGGCTCAGTGCCATTGGGATACTGGCTGTCAGCAATCCCGCGATCAGTCGTGTCTTTCTACTCAGCTTCAGAAAGTGATCTCACTACTGAGCTCGCTGCGACTGTTACCATGACCATCCGCTGCATTGCTTTCCTTCTTTGGTTTCGGTCTGCCTTGCATGATTCAGGGAACTACCCACCGGGAGTCGGATGCACCTTTATCCACTCCCGGAACATCGCTGGCCGGGTGTGAGGGCGCGGCATATGAGATGTCAACATATCAACCAAGTAGGTCGCAGGGCCGCTCGCGGACCGCCGCTTGGTTGCCCTTTGTCCAGGTGCAGGACATGACAGCAGCACGGGGTTAACGTGCCTGCTGGGGGGCGGCAGATCATGGCATTGGAGTCATGGTCAAAACTGTGTGACTGCTCCTGAGCTTTCCGATGATTTCCGCCCCTGCATGTGTTGGGTGCTGTTTGCGCTGTGTGTGTGCGCGCGGGTTTTCTCGCATCGGGAGAACGCGTGGGATTTGCGGCGGGTATCTGTATGAGCGAGGCCCGCTAAGCATAAGAGGTAAATATTATGGCTCCTGCATTCTGACGGACTGGGACAAGAGACACCACAGAAGGATCCGAGCGTTGAGAATCAGAAGCTCAACCCGGATGATAGTCTGGTATCTTACTTATTTCACGGTCCCTGAAAAATTGAAAAGACAGCACATTGTCTACGTTTGTGAGGCCCCCTTCTTCTATGGCAGCTTTGCCTGCGTAGCCGGCTTCTCAGAAGTGATGGATTTGCAGCTCCTCCCCACAAGTGCGACAACGGACTGCTAAGCACTGAGAGCCAAAGCGACTTTCGTCACCATTCCACCCCGAGCGTTGTCGGTGGGCGCCGAGTAAACACTGCCAGGGCAGAATTTCGAGACCCCGGCCCCGACAGCTGAAACTTGCAAAAGCGCGATGCAAGCGCCCTTGACACCGCACAGTCGCGGCCGGCAACCCGAGCTCAGATGACGCGACTGATGGCTTCAACGTCGCATCAAGCTTACAGGTCCTCTTCGGGGTGGTCGTCCTCCTCTCGGGCATCAACGTCGTGAAGTTGAGCTTTGGCGACGACTTCGTTTTTGCGGGTTCGGGGTATGGAGAGAGGGTTTCCAGTTGCAGGAGTTTTAGAAGTGTGCATATTTCCCTGTCAAGTAAAGACTGGCAGTATTCGAAGTAAAAGCATGTGAGCACTGCCTGAAGTCTGAACGGCTTCTCATGGAAGGCTGAAGCGAGGTCCCGTCTTGGATAATTGAAGACAAGACATCACCATAGTCCAGCATGCACCGCCGGACTTTCAAGAAGGAAAGATGGTCACGGAGGTACTAGACGAAATCATGCTCCTGTCGTTGTATGTGTTATCTTCTCGTTGTCGTTGTCGTCGCCGACGTCGACATCGCTGTTGGTGCTGGTGCCGCTGTTGTTGATGATGATAATGGTGCTAATTTCTGCTATTGTTGCTCTTGTTCGTCTTCTTATCAGTGTTGGTGTTGCTTTTTCCAGAGTTTCCCACGAGCATGGCCGAGGAACGTTATGGTCGAACTTCTCGTGCCATGGCTGCATGTGCGTCCATGGGAGTGCTTTGACGGTGCTTGGACTTCAACATCGAATCGGGAGCTGGGTAACATGGCTGAGCTCGTAGATACGGCTGCTAAGAACCGTGGCCGGTTCGTTTGTTGTAGCCAAGAAGAACAGAGTTCGCCATCAGGACGGAATCCTGATGCCGGTGGCCGTGGGATTCCTGCACGCGGCTCAGGAAACGTTTTCCAAAGGGTTCTTGGCCAGTTAATCCCAAAGCTCGGAACACTGCCGGATCGCCACTCTTGCCGTATAATGTTATCTTCTTGATGGTAGTGCGACAAGCATGTGTTTCGGTAGAACCGCTCAGACCCCCCCGCTCGAAACAGAAAGGAACGTTCAGTGTAAAAGTCAGTTCTGGCTAACAGACGGGTGTCGGCTATCTTGGCCCCAGCCTCCAGGAACTTCCCAGGTGTTTCGGGAAGCCCAGAGAACAGATGTCGCGCAGAGATGGGTCTTAAAGAGTCCAACACCTCCACTAAGGTGTCCGAAGGCCCAAACTCAAAGCGTCAACACCCCCGAATTGCCAGGTACCTCCTTGCCACCAGCAAGACTTTGCCGGAGCAGGCCCGCGGGTTTCTGTGGTGGCCCTTCGGGAGCGACGTGGAGCTGGTGATTGTTTGGGTGTTGAATTTGGATTTCTGGTGACTCTCCGACAGCTTACGCAGACCTTCTCGTGTCAGTTGTACCGTCGAAGTATTTTTTCGGAGGCTTGTTTGGGGAGGACATCCGACGGCATGCATCTGACAACTGCAGCATGCCCTCTCAACCTTGTAAGCGTGTGCCACGACCCAGACGATCCAGGGGCAACCAATAGCCTTCAATCCGATCCTCCTAACTAAGAAGCCGACTCGCGTTCCCGGTGCTGCCAGATTCGGGTGAAGGGCCTGTACAAGTGGGTCCTCGGCATCGTCTTTGCTGCCGTGGCCTGCGTCTCGCACCCCAACTGCAAGAAAAAGATATCTGAAGCTTGGAGTGTTGCTTAATAGGACGAGCAGATGTCCATGGGGCTAGATGTGTAGACACAGACGTCTTCCTGGAAATCTGGGATGCAGCGTAGCTCCGAAGTTCAGCATCTCGCCGTGTGAGGCTTGTGAGCGCATTCGCCGCATACCTGACCGACAGTGACGATGCCAAGACGCTGTAGATGGAGTGTTTGGAAGCTGGGCAAAGCTGTAGAGGCTTGGACGCTCAGTCCAGGCATGCCCCGGAAGCTGAATGAAAGATGCATGCCACTTGAACGTGTTGTCAGCTAACATCGGTGACCGATGCACGGCATTGGCATCACTGCCATGGTTTGAGCTGCAATTCTGTCTTTGCGGCCGTCGCAGTGCTGCGGCATTCCTTCCAAGCTTGCCAGCAATTTTTCGCACCGACGCAGAAGTAACCGGGTGCGTTGAAACATGGGCGTAAGCATATCATCTATGGCAAGAGATCGACACAGTCAACAAGTTCCCATACTCTGTCCCTCTTGTGTGTCCCAAAACCATTGATCAACGCCTGTCGGCTGAAGGGCTTGATGTTTGTTGTTCTTGTTTTGCTTGCTCTCGCTGCTGCCGGCGCCGCGCCGACAAGCACCGAGGTGCGCCCGTTAAGTTCCAAAGTTCAGATAATGCCCAACGTAGATTTTGTGTTGACGAGGTGCATGGAGATACGGATGAGCTGGATGATGTGGATTTCAACGCCAGTGTGTCCGCCATCTTGGACGATTGCAGACCTCCCTCAGGCAAGGTGAGATGCGAAATTCCTGGCAGCAAGCATCGCAGCATCGACTAACGCACGGCCCGCCGTCAAATCTCGCACACCCTGCGCCCCAAAGTCAAAGTTCCAGTTCCAACCAAGCATTTGAAGTCATCGCATCGTCGCATCCACAATAGCAGAGGTGAACAGGCCTCGAAGACTTCTCTGTGCTGTGGCGTCGAGGTATGCGAAGGCCTCCGGCTTGCAACAGGAGATTCAGCTGGTCAGGGGGTTGCCGAGTTTGGAAGTAAACTTCGAGCAAGTCGGAATATCAGGGCAGCCCTAGCTTGCACTGCAGCAATCCTTGCCCAGTTCCATGATCGAGTTCTTGACTTGTGTCCGACTTTCCGTTCGGGAAACCAACCTGCAGCGCTCATGATGCAACATTCCTAAGATCACGGCAGTTATACGCAGGTAATTAAGCATGTAGTCTGTATGTGCATGCATGTATTTATGTATGTAACTATGTAAATATGTCTGTACACACTGTTTGTATGTATGCATGCATTAGTTGTGCTCGTACTTGGGGCCAGAACTGGACAACGATGTGATTGCAGCCTTGGCCCATGTTGCCCCTGCGTCGATTCTGCCCACCCAAGAGCTCACCTTCACCTTCCTCCACTACGTGCGTGTTTCGCATATGCTGGATGCCGCTTCTTCTGTTCCAAAGAGAGCAGCAGCTGCGTTTGGGACACGGGCACAGAATGCAGTGCTTCACAGCGAGTGACGGTCCATGTTGTAGCCAGACTCAGTGCCTTGCTTGTTATGCTTTGTGAACCTTGCTGGCTGCAATTGCCCGCTGCACCCAATCCATGATTAAAGCCCTCAAAGCACCACCCGGGCGCCCCTCAATCCGTAGCCTCTCATGAAACAGACGGCTTAGCGAAATTTCGGGGTCAGTCCTTGGACATGGCTGCAATGAAACCTCTCGCAGGCAATCCCGTTGTTACCGGTATCTCAGTCTCCAGGCCAAGACCCGTGCTGCGGCGGGGGAGACGATCCTGGAGGCTGGGAGGGGGGGTTGCTTAGAAAATAATCATGGCTCATCGGGTCGATCATGTCTAACACATGATGCCGGCCCGGAACGATATTGTCGCACTGTCATCACATCCAACCCTATTGCCACGGTCCTTTGGTGCGGAATGCATTCCTTAAAACCCTCCGCGCTTGCATCTCATACCAGGTCGTGGCTTCCTTTGGAGATGGTCCAGACACGCGAGGCAGAGATGTTTGGGGGAAAAGTATGGAATGGCACTCCGTAGTCCTAAGTTTTCCGTGCTCACAAATCCAACTTGAAGGTTTATGTCCAACTTCGAAAGACCACAATGCAGTGTTCCTGTTACGGAGGCGGGCGTTGGTCGCCATTGGGGATGCGACTATAAGCCGATTGAGTCTTGCTTGGATTCCGGGTATGTTGCTTTCTTCGAGTTTTTTATGTTTCCACATCATGGGTGGTTGTTGTATAGTTAGTGTAAGGTAAGGGAGCAATGAATTCTTTAGAGGTATGCTCATTTATCAATGAGATATGTATGATGCCTTGTATTTGAGCGAAGGTAATTGCAACTTTCGATATTTTTATCAATTATCACATAA